GCATAGCGGGCTTGACCCGGAGGAAGGGGCCAGAGCCGAGGGGGTGGGCAACCAGGAGCTGGACAGGCCAGCAAACAGCTTCTCCCGGGAGCTGCCAGAGAGTCACCACGGCCTGGTGGCTGCACTCGCCTTCCTGGGCCGCTGTGAGCTCGCGTCCTGCCTGGGCTGAGGGCCGGTTTGACCCAGTGTGACTGGCTACAGCAGCCAGAAAACTGGCCCTCCGGCCCTCAGCCTCCTCACACTACAGAGCGTCCACTCCCGGGAAACCAGAGAGAGGTGGTACCAGGAGAGGTCGTAAAAGTCAGGGGAAAAAAGACAATGAACACCCTTTGTTAGAAAAATTACTCCAGGAAACAGAAGAATTTTTTAGAGGAGGCCATGTCAGTATGCATGAAATAATTTAGAGAGAACAGGCGTCTGCGATATCAGAAATCCAAGAAGGGGTGATGCGATTAAATAAGAAGCCAATAAAAGAAGGCTGGAGAGCGTGCGGGAACCGCCGGGAGCGGGAAGCCGTCTGGAAACGAGAAACAAGCTAGAAGCAGCCAGACACGTGTGTGATAGAGGACGGCTAAATTTATTGTGAAGGACGGGAGAAGGAAGACGAGGAGGAAAGATAAAAGAAAACAACGGCAGTAACGGAAGCCAGTGACAACAGCCACTGGAGCATCACTGCGTCCCGAGGCGGAAAGCCACGCTGGCGAGCCGTGACAGCCGCCACGGGACAGCCGTGGCGCCGGCCAGGAGCAGCCGCTCGGAGCGAGGAGGGCTCGAGGCCGCCGCTGAGGCCGAGCTGCGTGCAGAGTGCAAGCGGCGGCCGCAGTCAGGGCCTAGAGCCAGCAGGCGGGCAGCCCACGAGAGGGGGTGCCCCGGGCCAGACCGGCGTGACAGGGAGGGGGCGGGGGCGGAGGGACGGGAGCTGTCCACAAGTAGAGACAACAGGCGGAAAGCCTCAGGCACCAAGGCCAGGGAGGCTGCCAGGACCCCTGGCCGGAGAGGCCCAGTAGCAGGGGAGGTGGCTGTACCCGCTCGAGAGAGACCTCAGACCTCGGGGGCCCAATGGCTGAAAACAGAATGTAGCTGTTCCGTTGCGAGCAAGAAAAACGGAGTGATCTTAAAAATAATCACTGTGCAAAGCATGCTGGGTCAGAGGCGCCCCAGGATGCCGCGTGCTGTCCTGCGCGGCGCACGGGGCAGCTGGCCACGCAGCCCGCGGCAGCCCGCACGCCTGCAGCGGAAGTGGAGACGCCAGCAGAGCCTCCGTGACGGGCGCAGGCCGCGGGGGCCGGCCCCGGCGCTGGCTGGAGTCTGTGTGGAGCCAGTGGGGCCCAGGGTCCGTCTTCACTCCACTTGCTGAGCGGAAACCTCACATCTTTTTGGGTAGAAACTGACGGTTTAAAGGTTTTCTCCCGGAGAAGATAGAAGCTAGGCTCATTGGACCAGTGGATTCTAGCACTGTTGAGAGGCTGAGCTTGCACCCAAATTATGGGAAGGAGGCAATCACCCCCACACCCACACAAGCGCGCACACAGCCTTCAGGATGTGCCAACTTCCTGCTTCCCACTGTCCCCTCCCGGACCCTTCAGCCTCCGGCAGGAGGCTGCAGGCGTCCTCTCTGGGGAGTCGCAAGGTGCCGCGGGAAGGCCAAAGAGTTAACTCTGCTCCGCGGCTTGTGGCTTTGCAGCCGGAGGGCTTCCCAGGGGCTCCACGAGACCACCCCACAGTCTGTGGGCTCTGCCTCCTGCGAGCAGACCACCAAGGGCGACCCAAAACCCCGGGGAAGAAAGAACGAGACAGAGACAAATTTCAGCAGAGAGAGGTGATGCAGGAGGGAAAGGAAACCTCTCCCAGGCCCAGCCCTCCTGGGAAACAGGTCTGTCACCACTATTCGCAAGAGATAAAATAATTCATGAAACAAGAAATCAAGAAATTAAAATCAACAAGTCAAGGGCCCTCCCTGGTGGCGCAGCTCTGTGAAGCTGGTCCCGGCTGCTGCGGCGGGCGCATGATCCCCGGCCAGGGAGGGACCCACAGGCGCAGCTGACCCCCCTGACCTGCCCGCTGCTCCCCTCAGCAGTGTGTGTCAGCACATCCGCCTGTCCTGCTCCCCACTCGGTCTTTGGTGGATCCTCTCATCCCCACGCCTCTGGCCTGTACCCCATATCTTCTATGCATCAATAAATAAATCTTTAAAATATAAAATCTACAAGTTGAAAAAGAAAGATTCAGAGAACAAAGAACTCTCAAATATTATAAAAAAGAAACATGAAAGAGGTGGAAAAGAAAGTTTAAGAAACCTAGACAGTAGAGCAAAGTAAAACCAAAAATCAACCACCACCACCGCCCCCCGCCACCTCTGCACAGACACTCCCCCGCCCCCGCAAAAAAACAAAAAATATATGGCATACAAGAAAGAAAAGATATTTTTAAAAATGTAGAAGGTCAGGCCCTCCCTTGTGGCGCAGCGGGTTAAAGCACAGCACTGAGAACTAAAGCGGCTTCCGCGTGAGTTCGATCCCCGCCCGCCCCGGAGGTGACCACAGGGCGCGGCAGACCTCTCCTGACCCGCCCGCTGCTCCCCTCAGCAGTGTATTTCAGTCGATCTGCCTGTTCTGCTCCCCGCTCTGTCTCTGGGGAAGCCTCTCGCTGCCCTGCACCTCTGGCCTGTACCCCAGTTCTATATGCAGAAATAAATAATTTTTTCCAAAAAGTGTAGAAGGTCAGTTCAGGGGACCTAATACACAGGTTCCAGAGAGAACAGACAGAAATAGAAATTACCAATGGTGGGTATAAGATGGGGTCCAGGAAACAGGGCCTTCAGCACAGAGAAACGCGAAGGGGGTTCTTTGGTGATGTGAAGAGAAGCCCTCCACAGTATGCTACAAGCCCAGAGAAAAACCGGTCCAAAAGCTTATCGGTGTCTGAGAAGACTCCATTTTTTTGTGTCCTTACAGTTCTATAGATCAGACACTTGCCTAATTCTAGCCAAGAAGGACCCAGGACTGAGTGATGACATGATATGAGGAACTTTGTTCTGAGAGGTTTTTACTTTTTAAAAGGGTTGGAAATAATCAGTAAGCAGAGACAAAGAAAACTGGATAAGGGAAAAGAGGTGGGGGGTGATTAACTTCAAGACAAAGAAAAAAGCTAAAGGAGGCAAAAATGCCCAACCAACTAACATCAAAAGGAACTTCTTCCTGCTGAGTCGGGCCCCTGAAGGGGGGTTTTCTACAAGGACAACAGACTGGGCTTATGCCCCACCAGCTCGCACTGAGGCGAGTGTCTGGTCCTACAGCACTGTAGGACTCGGGAAACCGGAACCTTCTCGAACACCGGGGACTCCATCCAAGGTTTTGCTTTGTTACCGAGGAGAAGAGGGAGGGTGAATGCCTAGCGGACAGGTGCCAGTCCTGTCACTTTGGTTAAGATGACGTTTTGAAAGGAACACATAGCTAACTTTGACGAACTAAATAACATGGCACCAAAACACGTAAAGCAAAAGCTGCAGGAAACACAAGAAAAATGAATAGAAATACAGTATTCACGAGCAAACAAGTCTCGCAGTCCTTGACAGGTTGACAGACTACTACCAACAGAAAACAACCAAAAAAGTCAAAATTATAGGGGATTTGAAGTCTATAACTAATAAAACTGACATTACATACATACATATACTAGGGTATATGTATACTTCATTCTGTAACTTTAAATCTGCACTAAGACAAAAAACGAATCATGAAAGTGGAAATAATGAACAACAAAATGCCAACTGTCAACTTTTAAACTCTCCTGAAACTACACCTAGGCATGAGACCTAACCAGAATTTTAAACCCGCTTTAAAAAAAAAAAAAAACTGTAACAGAAAATATGAGACACAGCTAAAGTCGTTGAGAGGACAACGTCTTGTTCATTTTTAGTGACTGAACAAGAAATACAGAAAAATAAATGAATTCTGCATTTTACATACATTTTGAGACAAATAAACCCAATACAAGAGAAGTCATTAGTCAAGGGGGGGGCATGAGTATCAGGCTACAGGGGAAGCAGTATGAGAGTGTTGATAAATAATCCAACCTTAGCTGGCGAAAACGATGGACCACAGCTTGACTCCTCAAAAAGGAAACAGTTCATCAGAGCCACTCACCGCCAAGAGAAAAAACACCTGTCTGCAAAGATGCCGCAAAGGGCTGCGGTCAATCCCACGTCCACCGCGACCTCAGGGCCGCAGAGCGGCTTCTCTAACCTTATGAAAGCGCGTCATCCCACACCCAGCACCCACGCGGTGGCCGGAGCCGGGGTGAGGCCAGCTGGGGCCCGGACCCCTGCGCCCCGCCCCG